TCTCCTCTCCTCTCCTCTGCTCTCTCCTCTCCTCTCCTCTCCTCTCCTCTCTCTCCTCTCCTCTCCTCACCTCTCCTCTCCTCTCCTCTCCTCTCCTCCTCTCCTCTGCTCTGCTCCCTCTCCTCTCTCCTCCCTCTCCTCTCCTCTCTCTCTCCCACTCTCCTCTCTCTCCTCTCTTCTCCTCTCCTCTGCTCTCCTCTCCTCTCCTCTCTCCTCTCCTCTCCTCTCCTCTCCTCCTCTCTCTCTCCTCTCCTCTCTCTCCTCTCCTCTCCTCTCTCTCCTCTCCTCTCCTCTCCTCTCCTCTCCTCTCCTCTCCTCTCCTCTCCTCTCCTCTCCTCTGCTCTCCTCTCCTCTTCTCTCCTCTCCTCTCCTCTCCTCTCTTCTCCTCTGCTCTCCTCTCCTCTCCTCTGCTCTCCTCTCCTCTGCTCTCCTCTCCTCTCCTCTCCTCTCCTCACTTCTCCTCTGCTCTCCTCTCCTCTCCTCTGCTCTCCTCTCCTCTCCTCTCCTCTCCTCTGCTCTCCTCTCCTCTCCTCTCCTCTCCTCACTTCTCCTCTGCTCTCCTCTCCTATCCTCTGCTCTCTTCTCCTCTCTCTCTCCTCTGCTCTCCTCTCCTCTCCTCTCCTCACTTCTCCTCTGCTCTCCTATCCTCTCCTCTCTTCTCCTCTCCTCTCCTCTCCTCACTTCTCCTCTGCCCTCCTCTCCTCTCCTCTCCTCTCCTCACTTCTCCTCTGCTCTCCTCTCCTATCCTCTCCTCTCCTCTCCTCTCCTCTCCTCTCCTCTCTTCTCCTCTGCTCTGCTCTCCTCTCATCTCCTCTCCTCTCCTCTCCTCTCCTCACTTATCCTCTGCTCTCCTCTCCTCTCCTCTGCTCTCCTCTCCTATCCTCTCCTCTCCTCTCCTCTCCTCACTTATCCTCTGCTCTCCTCTCTTCTCCTCTCCTCTGCTCTCCTCTCCTCTCCTCACTTCTCCTCTGCTCTCCTCTCCTCTCCTCTCCTCTCCTCACTTCTCCTCTGCTCTCCTCACCTATCCTCTCCTCTCCTCTCCTCTCCTCCTCTCCTCTGCTCTGCTCCCCCCACCTCTCCTCTCCTCTCCTCTCCTCTCCTCACTTATCCTCTGCTCTCCTCTCTTCTCCTCTCCTCTGCTCTCCTCTCCTCTCCTCTCCTCTCCTCTCCTCTCCTCTCCTCTCCTCTCCTCTCCTCTGCTCTCCTCTCCTCTCCTCTCCTCTCTTCTCCTCTCCTCTCCTCTCCTCTCCTCTGCTCTCCTCTCCTCTCCTCTCCTCTCCTCTCCTCTGCTCTCCTCTCCTCTCCTCTCCTCTCCTCTCCTCTCTTCTCCTCTGCTCTCCTCTCCTCTCCTCTCCTCTGCTCTCCTCTCCTCTGCTCTCCTCTCCTCTCCTCTGCTCTCCTCTCCTCACTTCTCCTCTGCTCTCCTCTCCTCTGCTCTCCTCTCCTCTCCTCACTTCTCCTCTGCTCTCCTCTCCTCTGCTCTCCTCCATCATTGCAGCTTGATTTTCCCGAGGTGCTGGCCCCTCGCTGTGGTCATGCATCAGCGTGACCACACACACTGCTCCCACTGTTTGTACCCCCCCCCGAGGAGCTCACCTAGGCACAGGGCAGGGCAGGGGGGGCGGGGGGGGGAAGGCGACCGCTGAGAGGCACCAGGCTGTGTGGGTGAAAAAAAATAACATACTGACGCTGCATCAAACGTGAACCCTACTGAGTTGTGTGTTTCTCTGGTCGTGTTGTATTCATCCAAAAGAAGGAAATTAAAACAACTACAAGATCTGAATAATAATTACATCTATGTCTTGTATAAGTAATGTCCACATTAAGGTATAGTTGCACTATGCTTAAAGACAAATTAGCAAAGCTTATTTATGTATAGATGAGCAGTCATTGTGGCTCACTCTGTCATCCAGATGTCAGCTTCACTGCCTGATGGTTATTTTTAATCAATCTTTTCTGAAAACATGATTTTATTCATATTCAGTCCTCTGAGAGTTTGCATCATAGAAATAATCTTTTTTGTTGTTCCTAGAGTAATTTTTTTTATTTGAATAGAAAGCTGTAATCGATCTGTTCTCCAACTTCTCAGCTCAGAATGTTGTCAGTGCATGAAGCTATATTTATTTATCTATATTATTATTTGCAATTATACTATTTATCACAATTATTGATATTCATCTTCAATCCCAAGAACATGTATTACAACATTAACACTTGATGTGTGTGTGTGTCTGTGTGTGCGCTGTGTGCGTGTGTGTGTGAGTGAGTGAGTGTGTGCGCTGTGTGTGTGTGTAGTGTCGATTTCTGTTATTATTTATTGTATGCTATACTCTATTTGTCATTCAGTGCTATTTTGCGGTCCTCCTTGAATAGATGATTGATCTCTAGGGTCTTATTCTCCAAACACATACAGTAAATAACACATACATATAAAAAAAAACCTCTGAGATTAAGCCTCTCTTTCAAGTGGGTTCTCAAGTGTTTACTGCTCTAAAAGGAGTAACGTACAGTAGTCCAGAGGATTTCAGAACTAAATCTGAATAAATGAAAGCCATTTAAAGTGGATCACGCTGGACTTGATGTGCGTCACATTGACATTCTTCTCATGGCTGTAGTTTCTCACTGGTGTTTCTTCAGAGCCTGGTGCAGAGGTCAGAGCAGACTGTTTCACTTCTCTGTTCTTCCACATCATCAGTTTGATCGGAGGAGACAAGAGCACAGCGTTCACACAAGCAGAGGTGTGCTTGGGCCGGGGTCGGACTGCACGGAGATGTCCTGACCACATACTCTTTATGGAACAAAGCCTGTTTGCTGTCCATCACAAAGAAGTCCATTCTCTGAAGGGGCTGGCTCCTTTTGAGCAGCAGCTTCAGGCTTTTTGAGGGAAGATGGAGGTCCTCAGCCATCATTCACTACAGTATGTCCCAGCTGTACTCATGGCTTCCTATTTTATTTTCATTTGATAAAAACATATTTGGACGGGTTTTTGCTGCGTGATCCTAGCACTGTACTCATATTTACAGCTCAGTTTGAAACTTCTGAAAGATGCACTACTTATCACAAAATGTACATTATCAGAACTCTGCATACAATCTAAAACAGTATTCTTGAAAATATGAGACATACTTTTTTTCTGACAATGTTCAAATCCAGGTACAACACTGAGGGATTTTATCTCCACTGCTTACTGTGATTACTTACTATTATGATGCCTTGTGTGATGGTTTCTATCTTATTTTGTTCAGCACTTTCAGTTGCCTTATGTATGAACTGTGCTGTACAAATAGACTTGCCTTGCCAACCAGATGGAATGGAAGAATCTTTGTGGTCCCTGACATCACAAAGGGCTCTTCCCAGCGGTGGCTCCTGTCCGGGGCACAGGGCTAATGGGGCACAGTGAGAGGCTGAAGCTCTGATGGCGAGGGATGTTCCGTTGACTGATGGACAGGTGCTGCTGTAATGGCCTCGCTGCAGGAGCTTTGATTAATGCCACACGATCTGAATGCTAAGTAAACCATTCCAACCATTCCTCTGCCCGGGGTTCCTCACTGATGAACAGCAGAGGACAGAGGGCACGACATGCACCATAAAGATCTATAAGAGGCATTCCGACGCACAGTGTGAATATTTATCTTTAATAACAATGAGTGTATGAGAGCTGTAACTAACTGACTGCTGTGACTGTAACTACATTGGTAACTTTTATCCGAACTGTATTTTAATATGTATGTTATATGATTGTGTTGTATTATACTGTATATGTATAGAACTTTCCTTTCACGGCATGAAGGTCTGGGTTGGATTCCACCTCGAAACCTTTCTGTGTGGAGTTTGCATGTGCTCCCCGTGTCTGAGTAGGTTTCCTCCGGGTGCTGTGGTTTCCCCTACCACTAAAATGATGCACAATAGGTCTGAATGTAAAGAGTGCCAGTGTGTTTGGCTCGCTTCCGATTCTAGAGAATGGTAGAATCGGAGCAATGAGTATTGTAAAGCGCTTTGGGTGACCTTGGTCTGTAAAATGCGCTATATAAAAAAACCTTGCTTACTTACTATTGTCAAGGACCACGGAGGAAAGTAGTGTGGTGCTAAATCCGGTGCAGTCATTTTTCTTATGTAACTGCACATTGTCCTTTTTTTTTTTTTTTTTTTTTTTTTTAAATTTTATTAAATCAACATAAAAACACAAGATACACTTACAATTAGTGCTCCATTCCAAAACCCTCCCACCCTCACCCCCATTCACACTCATTCACACTCATTCACACAAACGGGTTGTTTCCTTACCATATTAACATTCTGGTTCCTACAATATATATCAATGCAGTCTGCACGGGATGAAGTCTGTGAGGCACTGCCCTAAACCAGTGCCCTTCGGGAACCACATCCACCGCAATAGGGTTGTGTGTGCTGCTGGTCCACTTTTAGTGGTAACATTTACCAGTTACATTTTGCTTAAATTCAAAAATTATTGTATTAAAAAATAAAATAGAAGAAAAAATAAAAAATAAATAAAATGTATAATAGTAATTATTATTATTTTTTAATAATAATAAGTTAATTAACAAAAAAAACAAAAATAACATTGTCCTTAATAAATTAAACCTAAACTTAAACTAATGGCGCTACAGTAGAAGTGATCATTAGCATAACAACAGATCTGCAGCGTATTACATGTAAATCAGGATAAACAGAAAAGTACATGGAGGCCAAGTACATAATGAGTGGCAGTGATTTGTTAAGTGCCACTCTGCAGAAGCCTGAATAAAACATTTTACACACACAGAGCCACATGAGCCATACATCAAGGTTAATGTGCTCCTAACGGGACATCGTTTCCTCGTGCACGACAGCTAACACACTCTAATGCTTTAATAAGCCAGCTCTGAACAGCACTATGACTGAAGAATCTTTTTATGGTGCAAACTTAATCTACCTATAAATTGCTTTGTAACCGCCTCCGGTGCCTTTCCTCAGTCACACTCATAGTTCACTCCCTGGATATGGACGCTGTCATGGTCAGACTCAATTCATCAGGTGCAGACATAAAAATCACATTTTGTTTGTTCGTTTACAAACTGGAGGTTACTGTAGATACAATTAGTAAATTAAATAAGTGAACTAACACTGTCTGTGAAAATACAGAACATTTGGTGGAAGTTTACCATAGCTTTTTTCCCACACTTATCTTCACAAATAGATAGAAATATGTTATACATAGTGTTGGAGAAGTAAGTAAGGAATCTTTATTTATATTGCACATTTCACAGACACACACTGTACAACTGTAACTTTTCCATAAAATACACAAAAACCAAATTCAATTATTGGCCTCAGTTGTATATGTCTATGGAAATATTGTGATTATTCGATGTAGCCATAGAGCAGCACAGGTGCACCGGTCACTACTGTCCAGCTCTGGACACACAGATCATTCACTGTTGTGGACAGTGACTATGTTCCAAAGTTGAACAAAAGTTCAGTGCTCTGCATTTTAGTTCAGTGTGTGGATGTGAGCCACTTATAATCTATGCTCTAAAAAGTGTTCAAAGCAAAATATAGTGCAAATTCAAACATACAACTCAGTTTGTGAGAGACACTTCTAAAAAGCCAGTCTTTCTAGAATATGAAATCTGTCCACACTCCACTGATTACGGCTCCCATACAGCTGTGTATTTGCATTGGATGTGCTCCTGGCCGTTATTCTGCTTTACTTCCTGACTCTCTGTTTTTCCATCCGTCCTCAACTCTGCCGCTGTTTTTCCTGGACTGGATCCCGGCGGGACACTCTGTTACTTCTGTCAGAAAAGGGCAAGGCCCACAGCTGACGTCCATTAGGGAGAAGTGGAAACCAACACAAAGTCAGCTAAAGTTTCAGAGAATGACTCCAGCCAGAGGCTGAGGTTCAAAAGGCAAAAATAGAACAGCAAATTCCACCGCAGCTGGAAAAAGAGGAAAGAAAAACACCAGTGGGAGACATCGGAGGCGTCCCCACATTGGAGGAGCCACTCCAGAGCAGGCCAGCAGAGGCGCTCTCACACAGCTCTTCACTGGGGATCAGATCCAGGGGCAGGACCTGTGGGTTGTTTTCTTTTTAAGCCTGAGCCTGAGGGCGCTCACTCTTTTGCCACTCCTGCGGGACGCAGCAGTCTCTTTGGGTCCGTGGAGTTGTGCTGGTGGGGAGCCTCACACAGTGGTTGGTGGCCCTGTTGGCACGTATGTGGGCTTGTGCGGCGTGAGCGCTGCCCTGGGAAACGCCTTCTGCTCGTTTTGGTGAGTGCGCATCCTTTATCCCACACTTCCACTTGCGCGCATTTGGCACTCACGCGCTTTCCTCCTGCTCCAGTGTGGCCAGCTCCTCCAGTGTGGCAAACCTTAGTGAAGGGCCTGTGTGAGCCCGTTGTGCTTCTCAGACGCTACTTGTGGGTAAGCATGGTGCCATCTTCCCTCTGACCCATTTGGCTGTCCCCCAGTCACCCTAACAGCTCATTTTAATTTAGTTGGTGCTAAATTACGCACAGCGGAGGTTGAGAGCGCGCCTCCGTTCGGGGTCTGGGGGACCGGTGCTTTCTCTGATTGGTGAGTTGCCGTTATTGCCTGATGTATACTCAAATTCTAATCTTTAGTGGTCTAACCCCAGCTTCCCTGCACTTCAGCGGGACCGAGCTGCAACTCCCGCGGCAGTTTGGAGACTGCCAATCATCACAAGTACACAAATTCTGAGCCCCGTTTCCACCGGCGCAGCTCCTCCTGCCTCCACTGCTCTGGATTGACCCCACAGGCCAGAGGCGCTCCAGTTGTGGACACTGATCATCAATATTAGGCCCACAGAGCACCTGGACACCCAAACTGTAAATTTGTACATTTTAACTGTAATTGAGTTTAGGATTGTTTAATCTTTTTTTTTCTTTGTCCTTTGCATGTGTGTGTGTGTGTGTGCATGTGTTTTTTTGTGTTTGGCTTTTGGCAATTACCATTATTAATCAAATGTTCCTAACTTAAAAATGTTTTAATGAAAATAAATTTTGTACTTTTGTAGTCAAGTTTTGGTTTTGTCTCTGCCCCCATCACTTTAAAAAGGGAAGCGAACCTGTGTCTGCCTTGTGCAGGGTCCTAGGCCTATCCTAGGTGGCGTTGTAGACAATAGCGAAAATTTTAACCTGTACTTTTAACCCTTGTTATGTCACATTTGGCGTTGCTGGCAGGATTCCGCTAAGTTAAAGGGGCAGAGACTTTTTGTTTGTTTTTTTGTTAACTTTTCTATTTAATTCCTGAAAAAAAAAATAATTCCAGAGCAGCGGTGGTGGTGTTGGGACCCAAACATTTTTTTCTTCAGGACCTTTGGCAGTTTCTTGAGCTGACATGGAAGAAGTGCAGCAGCTAAAAGATCTTGTTTTACAGCTTCAGGCGGATAATGAGCGGCTCCGTCGGGATCGTGCTGGTTCCTTGGACCCTGGCGAGGGCGCCTCTCAGTCCTCCGCTTCACATGCACAGTCCCCCACCCCCGCTGTAGCGGAGCGGTTGTTGGTGGTACCAAGGGACCGCAAGTGCCCCATCTTTAATGGGAAGGCTGGCTTGGGGATCGCTGAATGGGTCGAGGAGGTTGAGGCATGTATGCGGGCCCGACATTTGACTGCTGTGGACCGGGCTCTTTTCATCTTTGACCACTTGGAGGGAGAGGCTAAACAGGAGATCAAGTTTCGTCCCGCTGATGAACGTAGCGACCCAGGTAAAATCTTGTCCATTTTAAAGGAGCTCTATGGTTGCCATCAGTCTTACATAACTTTGCAACAGGACTTCTTTGCTCGGCGTCAGAGGGAGGGTGAGAGCCTTCAGGAATTTTCACTAGCTTTGATGTCCCTGATGGCGCGAGTTAGACTGCAGGCCCCAGACGGAATGCCAAATGCAGAAGTGTTGTTGAGAGATCAATTTACAGAACATGTACTGGATTGTGCTCTGCGCCGCGAGCTTAAACAGCTGGTTCGAAGGCAGCCCACACTTACTTTGATGGAGCTTCGTGCTGAGGCGATGAGGTGGGAACGTGAGGGCCAGCCAGGGGGCGCTCGGGGTCGTAGCTATTCCTTACCATCAGCTCTTGGCTTCCAATGTGGCGTGCAGGGTGGTGCCCAGACCAACCCTCCGGGTGGGCAGTCTGGGCCTACAATGAAAGAACTTATGGATCTACTCAAGCAACAGCAGGAACAGTTGAATAAATTAACTCAAACAGTCATATCATTGCAGGCCCCTTCTCCACATGAGGATGGTTCACATTCAGTTCTCCTTTGCTGGCGATGCCAACAACCTGGGCATTTTGCACGGGATTGTACTGGTCCCCGGGTTTACAATCAACCGCGAAGTAGGGTGGGTGGTCAGAGGTCAGGACATTCCTATGGGCAGTCGGAAAACTAGCACCCACTGAGTTGTTGAGCCGCAGCTCAGGAGGGGAGCCCTTAGGCTTACAGATAGACCCAGCCTGTGGACTGGTGGCGCCGTGCCCAAATATGGAAGTTTCCATTGGGGTTTTGGTCTCTTGTTTGGTGGATACTGGTTCCATGGTTTCTACCATTACGGAGAGTCTGTTTCACGAGCAGTTTGCTGAATGGGGCCAAGATCGCCTTCGTTCCTGCAGCTGGCTTCAGCTTAAGGCTGCAAATGGACTGGAGATCCCCTATATCGGGTACTTAGAACTTGATGTGGAATTGTGCGGCAAAATTGTTTCACGCTGTGGGATTTTAGTGGTGAGGGACCCCCTGGTGCAGTTTCTTCCACTCCTGGTATCTTGGGGATGAATGTTATACGCCGATGCTATGCAGAGCTTTTCAATGCACTGGGCTCTTCTCTTTTTGAGGCTCCTGCTGTAGTGGGGGCACCTCAACCTGTCATCATTGCTTTACAGCAGTGCCATGCTGCCGACTTGGACAGGGATGTGGCCACAAGTACGGTGAAGGTTCGAGGGAAGCGGGCAGTCAGTGCCTGGAGGAATGGTTAAGTTAGTGGCTGGCACTTGTTCAGAGAAGTTTGCAGGAGGTAATGTCTTGTTAGAACCGCCGGAGACTGGATTGCCGGCTGGTCTGCTTGTGTCATCTTGCCTAGTACGAGTGGTTCGTGGGACAGCGTATATTCCGGTTGTCAATGTGGGGACGAAGGCTGCTCTTCTCTACCCACGGACCACTCTTGGCAGGCTCAGCGAGGCACAGGTTGTCAGTCTGCCGGCCTGCATTACAGAGGATCGAACTACGACTGCCTCTGTGAACTCTCAGAACATTGGGCCCTCTATGCCTGAGAGAGTTGCATCATTGGAGCTACCGGCTCTGGTAGATCAGGACGCTGAAAGGGTAAGGGGTCTGTTGCGTGACTATGAATCAGTGTTTGCAACTCATGAAACTGATTTGGGCTGCACTAACCTTCTTTCACAGGATATCCCTTTGGTTGACGAGGTTCCGATTAGACAGAGGTACCGTCGCATCCCGCCGTCAGAGTACGAGGCCGTTAAGGCTCACATCAACCAGCTGATTGAGGCTCAAGTAATTCGTGAGAGCTGCAGCCCGTACGCCTCACCAATCGTTTTGGTGCGGAAAAAGGATGGCAGTTTACGCCTCTGCGTAGACTACCGCCTGCTTAACAGCAAAACGCGGAAGGACGCTTTCCCTCTGCCTCGGATCGAGGAGACACTAGACTCGCTATCCGGGGCTGTCTGGTTCTCAACACTCGATTTGGCCAGTGGCTACAATCAGGTCCCTGTGACGGAGGCAGATCGGCCCAAAACAGCCTTTTGTACCCCCTTCGGCCTTTTCGAGTTTAACCGCATGCCTTTCGGGCTGTGTAATGCCCCGGGCACCTTCCAGCGGCTGATGCAGAGGATGTTTGGGGATCAGCAGGGTCAGTCCTTGCTGCTATACCTCGATGACATCATAGTCTTCTCATCCTCTGTCGAACAACATCTCCAGCGGCTGGAAGTGGTGCTCGGGCGGCTTAGGACGGAGGGCCTAAAGGTGCGGCTCGAGAAGTGCTCATTCTTCCAGCGCGAGGTGGGGTACTTGGGCCATGTAATCTCAGATCAGGGGGTGTCTACTGATCCCAAAAAGATCGAGGCAGTGTCCCAGTGGAAGCGTCCCCAGAATGCCCCTGAGCTGCGCTCATTCTTGGGCTTTGCTAGCTACTACCGCCGGTTTGTGGAGGGGTTTGCTAAGTTGGTGGGCCCTCTACACCGGCTGGTAGCGGAGCTGGCGGGCAGTAAATCAAAGAGGGGCTCGGGCAGTGTGCTTGGGGCTGCTTGGACGCTACAGTGTGAAGAAGCGTTTGAGGCCTTAAAAGCAAAGTTGGTGTCTGCGCCTGTCTTGGCGTATGCAGACTTTGCAAAGCCTTTTATTTTAGAGGTGAACGCTAGTTATAGTGGCCTGGGAGCTGTCCTCTCCCAAGAGACACCCAGTGGGGTGAGACCGGTGGCTTACGCTAGTCGTGGATTGCGGCCCACAGAGCGCAATATGGCAACTTATAGTTCCATGAAGCTCGAATTCTTAGCGCTCAAGTGGGCGATGACGGAGAAGTTTCGCGAATATTTGTTGGGTCACAGGTGCACAGTGTACACTGACAATAATCCGCTTAGCCATCTCCAAACCGCAAAGTTGGGGGCGACAGAGCAAAGATGGGCCGCTCAGCTTGCTACCTTTGACTTTGAAATAAGGTACCGTTCGGGTCGAAGTAACAAGAACGCGGATGCTCTATCCAGGCAGCACCCGTCGGGCTCGGAGACCATGGCTCAATTGATGCCTGGTACCCAAACCCCCCTTCAGCTGCAGCATGGGCCGGTGCTATGCGACAAACTCACGGCCACCCAATCGCTGGTCTCTGCTCTCCCAAGCCACTCAGCGGCCCACCTTAGATCATTACAGGAGGAGGACCCCTGGTTAAGGGAGGTTCTTGGGTATTTGCGGCAGCAAACTAATCCCTCTCCTGCTGAGCGGCGTCTTCTGTCAAGGCCTGCCCTGGCCCTGCTGCGCCAACGTAAACGTCTGGTGGAACAAGAGGGAGTTCTCTTTCGCAAGACGTACCGTTCAGATGGGGGAGAGGAAATCTTACAGCTTCTCCTGCCAGTTTCTTTACGGGCTGAAACCTTGGGCAGTCTTCATCAACAACATGGCCATCAGGGCATGGAAAGGACCGCAGAATTGGTCCGTCAGAGGTGCTATTGGCCGGGAATGTTCAATGACGTCCGGAATTGGGTACAGGAATGTGAGCGGTGCCAGGTGGCAAAGGACACCGGACAGGGGTCACGCAGTTACATGGGTCACCTGCTAGCTTCCCGCCCAAATGAGATCTTGCCCATAGATTTCACATTGCTAGAACCTTCGCGAAATGGATATGAGAATGTCATGGTTATGACTGATGTGTTTAGTAAGTTTACTGTTGCGGTTCCTACACGAGACCAAACTGCTCCTACAGTGGCCCATGTGTTGATTTCAGAGTGGTTTTATAAGTTTGGGGTTCCAAGTCGCTTGCATTCTGACCAGGGGAGGAGTTTCGAGAGTGCCTTGATTCGACAGCTCTGCTCATTGTATGGGGTGGAAAAGTCGCGAACAACGCCGTACCATCCGGCTGGCAATGGCCAATGTGAGCGATTTAATCGCACACTTCATAACCTTCTTCGCACGTTACCATTGCCACAGAAGAGTAACTGGGCTGCTTGTTTACCTCAGGTGCTCTTCTGCTACAACACCACACCTCATCAGGGTACTGGGGAGTCTCCATACTACCTGCTGTTTGGTCAAGAGCCAAGGCTCCCGATTGACTTCCTCCTGGGGAGAATTGATGAGCCAAGGCCAGGCGAGGTGCAAGGCTGGGTAGCAGAACACCAGGAGAGGCTGAGAGCTGCTTTCAGTTGTGCTCGTGAGAGGCTTCTGGTGGCTGCAAACCGCAGGAAGGAGCGGCATGATCTACATGTGCGGGACACACCACTGGTGGTGGGTCAGCATGTCTATGTGAGGGACCATAGTGCCAGAGGGCGAAACAAGATCCAAGATCTTTGGAGCCCAGTGGTCCATCAGGTTGTGCGTGTCCCACCTGGACAGGGTGTAGTTTACTCAGTGGCCCCGGTAGATGATTTGGGTAGAGCTAGGAACTTGCATCGTGACATGCTGAAACCAGTGGTGAAACCTGCAGAGGTGGCACATCTGGCGCCCCACTCCCCATCGGAACCAGAAGTGACCCCTCTTGATGACTCTTCAAGTAGTGATGTGTGGCTCCTGGTTTCTGAAACTAATGGGCCAGTGGGTGCTCCCAGTGCACCACCTTGTGTTCCCCCCAGGTCTGGGCCAGATCTCGGTCAGGCTACTTTCACCGCTGTACTACCTGGTCATGAGGCGGCCCCTTTGGTTGACCCAGACCACCCAACATTGCGTCGCACCACCCGCCATGGTGCGGGCCAACATTCAAACATTTACAGGCTCCCTCGTCATACTCGGCCATTGATACGTGAACACGGTGGCGCGTCGAATCCTAGCTCTAACCTTCAGGCTGCCATCTTTCGGCCGTGGTCCTAACTGTCTATCGTCGGGACGACGATACAAAGGTGGGGGGTAGATGTAGCAGTGTGGAGTGCGTCTGCCCTCCCCTTACCTGTTTCATTGAAACACCACCTCACGCACTTGCCTGCCACTAATTGCAGGGGCAGGACCTGTGGGTTGTTTTCTTTTTAAGCCTGAGCCTGAGGGCGCTCACTCTTTTGCCACTCCTGCGGGACGCAGCAGTCTCTTTGGGTCCGTGGAGTTGTGCTGGTGGGGAGCCTCACACAGTGGTTGGTGGCCCTGTTGGCACGTATGTGGGCTTGTGCGGCGTGAGCGCTGCCCTGGGAAACGCCTTCTGCTCGTTTTGGTGAGTGCGCATCATTTATCCCACACTTCCACTTGCGCGCATTTGGCACTCACGCGCTTTCCTCCTGCTCCAGTGTGGCCAGCTCCTCCAGTGTGGCAAACCTTAGTGAAGGGCCTGTGTGAGCCCGTTGTGCTTCTCAGACGCTACTTGTGGGTAAGCATGGTGCCATCTTCCCTCTGACCCATTTGGCTGTCCCCAGTCACCCTAACAGCTCATTTTAATTTAGTTGGTGCTAAATTACGCACAGCGGAGGTTGAGAGCGCGCCTCCGTTCGGGGTCTGGGGGACCGGTGCTTTCTCTGATTGGTGAGTTGCCGTTATTGCCTGATGTATACTCAAATTCTAATCTTTAGTGGTCTAACCCCAGCTTCCCTGCACTTCAGCGGGACCGAGCTGCACCTCCCGCGGCAGTTTGGAGACTGCCAATCATCACAAGTACACAAATTCTGAGCCCCGTTTCCACCGGCGCAGCTCCTCCTGCCTCCACTGCTCTGGATTGACCCCACAGGCCAGAGGCGCTCCAGTTGTGGACACTGATCATCAATATTAGGCCCACAGAGCACCTGGACACCCAAACTGTAAATTTGTACATTTTAACTGTAATTGAGTTTAGGATTGTTTAATCTTTTTTTTTCTTTGTCCTTTGCATGCGTGTGTGTGTGTGTGTGCATGTGTTTTTTTGTGTTTGGCTTTTGGAAATTACCATTATTAATCAAATGTTCCTAACTTAAAAATGTTTTAATGAAAATAAATTTTGTACTTTTGTAGTCAAGTTTTGTTTTTGTCTCTGCCCCCATCACTTTAAAAAGGGAAGCGAACCTGTGTCTGCCTTGTGCAGGGTCCTAGGCCTATCCTAGGTGGCGTTGTTGACAATAGCAAAATTTTTAACCTGTACTTTTAACCCTCGTTATGTCACATATATTTTATGTGTTTGAACTGTTTGATTCTCTGATCTGTGTTGGTGATTTCAATAGTTTTGTTAAGTCCTCTGAGATGACTACTGTTGTGATTTAGGGCTATACAAGAGTACGTTTAATCAAATGAAACTTTAAGGAACTGTACAGCCAGGTTAATGATTTTGAGTTTAAAATATTGTGGTCTGTTGCGCAGCCTCCATAGACACATTTTATATAAAAGCGCCTGTCAAAAAATTACAGGCGCTTTTAAAGGCGGGTTCTGAAGCACACACAGGGCATGCAATTTATACAACAATTTATGTCATATCACGTCACATGGAAAGAGCCAACCCAGGTGTTAGTATAGTCACAACAACAGAAGAAAAACGAGACGCCATGACCTGATCACTGGAATTGTCATTTGTGTGAAGGTCATTGTTCAAACGCCTTCCAAACCACCCAAGGACGCTCCTGATCAGAACAGGGCCTTTCTGAGTGGAGTTTCAATGTTCTTCAGCATAAAGTGAATTCAGGATCATTAAATTCTAGAATCCTTTGGAGAGCAACCTCAAAGGAAGTGGCGAGCTACTGGTATCTCCGGGTTGGAGAGACCCCTGATCTCCACATTTCCATTAATCTTAAATCTACACGAAACCAAAACATATACTGTATGCTGTGGTTTTGTTTTTGCTCCACGGGGGGCTTCCGAAAACCGGTTTGTATCTTGTAGACCAAAATTCTCCTTACTCACTGCGTAGATTATTCTGGGTTGCCGATTCTGGCCTGTGGAATGTGGAATCTTCACTCATATTCAATGTGTCAATGTGGGATGATGTGTCTCCCATTGAACATGTTTGGGATGCTCAGGATCGCTGTAAACAACAGTGTGTTCCAGTACCTGCCAATATCCAGCCACTTGGCACAGTGATCAAAGAGGAGTGGGCCAACATTCTACAGGCGCTAGGACTACAGTGTTTTCAGTTGAGACTCGAATAAGGAGCCTGGTCCTTTTTGCTTATGGCTTTGCAGCGTCTCAGCAGCGTCGGCGTCCAACACAGATTTGTGTAAGTTGTGGATTCACCACTAAACCACAAATCAGGTCTTCCTCTCCCTTTCGTACCCCTCCTACACCCTTTCCGATCTTTCACTCTTGAAGCTAATTAAATGAAGACATATCCGTTCAGACAGTATTCTCATGAGCAGGTACTATGAATAATTGAGAGGCCGTTATCCCCGGGCCAAACTCATGTGGATTACAATGCAAACCCATGGTTTGTCATCTTCTGTGCCTGCTGCTAATGCCAAAGAAGTTTGCTTAAGGAGAACATCATCTCTCTGCTCTCTCGGCCCGAGATGGAGGACCGAGAGGCCTTGCCGTCTATATTCAACTGCAAGACCCAGTCATGAACAAGGACTGTTCTCCATCCATTGCCATCACGACCCAAGGACTGCCATCGATCAACGTCACATTCTGGTTGTATGCTCTGCTCCATACAGCTGTTGCCTTTCTATAACCTACACTTTAAACTAAGAACACTTAGTCCCTCACAAAGGCTGCAGACACATGGTAGCAAGGCCTTCCAATCCATTCATGGACAAAGGCCTTGCTTTAGCCTTGTCTCACCTTAGCCATAGCATTTTAACCATGTATCTCGCAATCAGCTTTTCCTTCATGTTATTCTTGACAATTTGCATATTACATATCTAATCTGTATTGTATGTACTGCATTAAATCTACAAAACCATCTTTGTCTGAAAGTGATATTTGTACTGATTTTACTCCAGAAATTGGGTCACTGATTTGAAAAAAGGATTCATACCTTCAGATTATATTGAAAAGAATTGGACTAACTAGCTAATTAAATAATTTATTACTCATGATTACAGAATCAATAAATGATCCAATTAATCGATAAGGTGACGTCATACGCACGTTATCAGTTGGGATTTATTCCCTGGTTCCCCGAAATAAAGCTATTATCAATTATTGTATTTACTACATGATTGTTTTTGATCAAATTCTCAGATATCAAATAAATACCTTAAGTGATATCAACTTCAATAACCCCTACAATTGTAAAGAACGTGATGTTGTTGTACTTTTACCATTGTCACATGTGGATAAGTGGTTTGATTAGAGAGCTCAGACGGACACAAAGCCTCATATTTATAAAAAGAGCATTTATTTCAAAGATTTTTTTGCTCCGTAGATTGAAGCACATAGTAAAGCAAAAGTACAATGTTCCCAAAATATAAGTGTGATGTTGTCACTTTCAGATCTTCTTCACACGTTTGTCATAACACTGGAATATTCTGCATGTATACTAAAATAAGAACTTTTTAGGTCGTACAAACGGTTTCCATAAAATGTGTCAGAATACAAATGAGGCGTGTTACTGTCACACACACTGACTGCTCGCTTTGAGTTGGATCTGGAGAAAAGAGAAAACACAATTCTACAGAAATGAAATTGTAATCGCAAACATGGACACACACGCATACACACACACACACACGCATACACAGGCAGGCAGCAGGCACACACACACAAACACACACACGCATACACAGGCAGGCGGCAGGCACACACACACAAACACACACACGCATACACAGGCAGGCAGGCAGGCACACACACACACACACACACGCATACACAGGCAGGCGGCAGGCAGGCAGGCACACACACACACACACACGCATACACAGGCAGGCAGGCGGGCACCCACCTACACACACGGACACACACACAAACACACACACGCAAACACACACAATAATAATGATGAAAAAATGAAGAAAAAAAACTTGATGCAGGAAACTTCGACTGCTGTCACATAAACAACATGAATATTCAAGATTACCTGCAAAAAGTCTTATGTGCAGCCAACATACAAACATTTGTTGTTATAGAACTTATAATAATGATAATAATAATAACAATTAGCAATAATAAAAACAACAGTAATAATATAGAAAGAGGAACATCGCACTGAGGCGTGTGCTGCTTCCCAGAGGCAGGTCTCACACACGGAGCTCAAGTCACGGCTCAACACACTCAAAGTCCACTACGTCCTGTTTCCTATTGCTAGAGTTGAGCGTTTTAAATGAATTGACGTCAAAAATGCAGAAATCGAGGTCAGGAAAATGTGGGGTTCTAGGACTCTCCACTTCTCAGGGCCTCTGGAGTCGTGCAATGAGAGTGAACAGAAATCCACTTGGGTCAGAAATGGATTTGAAACTAAAATATTCAGAGGGTAGATTTTTTAAAGAAAAATCATTGACCCCTTATAATCTTTTTTCATTAATCGGCGGTCTTCAATGATCTTGGATTTGGATTAAGATTGATTCGCAGTGGGGACTTCCATTGCAATACCACAAATGATGATGATGATGTACATGCTCAAGGAACTTTTACAGCATGAATTCCATATCAGGGGTTATATAGATCAGATGTTTCACTTTGAAAGAAAAAGAGGGAGAGGATACTGAGTGAGGATAGGATTTGTTTACATTTTAGGCCGTTTCTGTAGCCCTCATGACTGAACTCAAACAGTTTAAACCCAGACTCAGGCCTGACCGTCACTACAGCCTATTGTACATTCTATTCTTCATAATTCCATTTTTGAATTATAAATACAGAAACGATCACTGACTTCCCTTCACCGTCCACGCTTGTCCGCCTCACAGTGATTATCCTATGCTGGGTACCATTCCAAAATCAATCTCTTGTTTTTGGCAAATTTCTGACCCAGATAAAGAAGCGCGCCAAGTACCTATAGCCTGTTCCTGCTCCATGTTCCCCTCCACCCCGAAAAGAAAGTTGATCAGTTATGAATGTTCCTAAAATCCAAAATACGAGTGGACTTTGTCTCTGTTTATCCATGAATAGAGCCCTGTTGTTCCTATGTCCAATAAGAACCCACACTTTCTTTAAAAGAGGTGGAATCTCTTTTTCTCTCTCTTGTAACATGGAGTTCTCAATTTACAAAAAGAAAAACCCAAATCAAAAGCAAATGCACTGTGTCCGTTAAGTTTAAGGCGTTTTCCAGCTCACAAGTTTTCACTGATTGATCAATGGTGGAACAAGTGTGTCACGTGATCATTTGTGGGAGGAGTCATGTTAGAGAGTGACTGGACAGAGTACACACACAGTGGGAATGCTCTTTTCAAATGTGGTGCGGAATGACAACACACTCTATTGTCCACATTGTAAAAAAAGAAAAAGAAAGTTGTACAGGAGCATTCACACAATCCTGGAGGTGTGCGCTCCCAAATGCTCTCCTTCAGCCTCTGTGGTTGTTGTAGATTTATTATAAGGCCACCGCACTGTGAAGACACGCCGTCTTCAGAGTAACAACAACCCAGAGTCTGTCATTCAAAGAAAGTTTCTGCTTATTCAAGACACACAACAATGTTTGACAATTCATTCTAACAGCTTCACAATCATTTGTTCCATCTGAGCACACGGGAATGTCATCTTATAGAAAGATCATCTTTTCTCAGTCTTCTTAATCAACTTCTTCTTCCCACGAAGCCGGCATCATTTTGTAGCCCAGGTCCCAGGAGAGGTGAAGATTGTGTTCATGAATGCACCATTATAAATATGAACAAATTTGCCTAACCATTCATCCACTAGTTGGTGTTGACATAACTAATAGAGCTCAGATCCGGATGGAATCACTAATATGCGGGGGTTGGCTGTGCAGTCTGCTGTTAGGAGTCCTCGGCCTCATCATCCTCATGAAGAGAACATTCTTTGGTCCCGTACAAATCAGCCAGCTTCCTGAAGCGTGGCCCCCAGCTCTGCAGATAGTCATAATCCAAGTCAGACTCTGTGGTGACGGACTCCAGAGAGCTGAGGGAGCCGGCAAGGGAGCCCCTGCCCTCATAGCCGTAGATCTGGATAGAGTCATAAGGGGGCGCTGTGGGGTCACTGTCTGCCTCAGCGATGCGGGTCTTGATGAAGTCGTCCACGTCCACACTGTTGGGCGCATGGTGTCCCATACCAGGTCTCAGCGAGCACTGTAACTCTGGCTTCATGTCCTTTCTGGGCAGAAAGCCATTGGCTCCATCAGGGTTCTGCAAGACAGAAGCCAATTGGTTATTCTATACAGCGGCAAAAATATGCTAAGTAATTCATCTTTATTTATAAGTCACAAAGACGCTTTACAATCTTTGATTGTTTCATTCTTTCACTCAGACACTGTGTCTGTTTCCTAAGCACACAACAACAGTTTAGCACGTTACAGCCTCAGCTGTGACACTTGGTATTCTCAATCTGCCATCACAGAACTAATCAGGCCTTATGCTGCTGAGCTTCTGAGATCTGAAGATGAGATCAGGCTTTGACCTATATTTATATATTTTTCAAACAAAACTGGGAAAAAGTATAAATATATCTCAGCATGTGTTCTTCCAGAGTGACACACACAACAATGGGATTCAGGCTTTTTAGATCCAGACACAGAGAGACTACAGTGAGCTGTCTGTAGTGATGCACACCTGCAGCGTGGCGATGTCAAAGGCCTCTGTATCTTCCTCTCCTCCGCCCTCATCATCGTACGTGATGATGTTCTCCCTGATGTCCTCCTCCTCAAACACAATCAGAGGCTCCTTCTTCTGTCGACGCAGGGCCACAAACAGAACCACGATTGCTGCGGGACATGAACTCATGTAAGTCTTTCTCCACTGGAATTGTCTTGTCTTAATCATCATTTCATGAGCTATAGAAGAGGTCAAACAATTGTGCATATTTGCCAGAAAATGCCCTTTTTTGAGATCAAACGTACTTACCCAGAAGGATTACGATGCATGCCAGTATTGCTACGAGGGCCCCCGTGCTGAGGCCAGCTGCCAGGACGTAGGGCTCCACATTGCAGGACAGGATGGTGTCCTGGGCGTCGCAGGAGCACACACGGATGGTCAGCGTGTTGGTGGAGCTCAGAGGCGGCACACCGTTGTCATTGATCTCAATGGGAAGAAGGTAAACGTCCTGAGTGAGGCGACTGAAGCCTTTCCGCAGGACGTAGATACTGGCTGAGCTGTCTGCAATCACACGGACAACATCGAATGAGCAGGTCCCCAACACCAAAGTTCAAATGTGCTGCAATATCTCAGACAGAGAATAGTAAAGTCTTGTTGCTTTGTACCAGGATTATTCATCAGAGATCACACATATAAGGGCCATATGCACCTACTGAGCTTTACATGACACTACAGAAGAAAATGAGCCTGAATGGTTTAATCTGGCATATTTACATGGAAAAACTATCGCTCAATGTGCATAGTTCCATTCAAATAAATGAATAAACAAACACATATAATGAATAGAATATAGAAAAATAATAAATCAGGGCATGGCTGCGCTTCTTGTAGGGTGGGAACTCTTACTCAAAAAGGAAAGATAAGGGATATGCCATAGCAACATTTTTTTGGGGATTTTGTGACCATTGATTCCTACTTCTTTTCACATATAATGGAAACTTGAAAGACAATAATATGCTTTTAAGCATTCTAAGAATTTAACGTGATTGCAAAGCCCATGGGAAAGCAAACCAACTATTCCATGAAACGATTTAATGCTTCAGTTTCAGTTAAACCATAATTATGTCTTGGTTGATTTAGTGTGTAAACTATTAAACTAGGAAAGCTTTGTTGTCAAAATGTATATATTTTTTATTTTAAACTTTTAATTTGAACTGAAAATGACCAGAAGTTGAACCTGGAGGCAGAAAAATGCACAAAGGGAGGGAGCGTCTCTGAGCTTGCAACTCAAACTGGTGACAATTGCCTTTGTCTGCTTTGGTATTCTGTGAGAATGAGTACAAGAGTAAAAGGATCTCATCAGAGCTGAGCAGGTCTTGCCTCTGTTGTCTTTGAGGGAGAAGTTATTGTTGTGGGCCACCTCCGGAGCCAGGCTGAAGGTGAAGTGTTGTCTGTGGACCATCTCGTCTTTGTCCACTCCGCTCACAGTCTCAATCACCTGGACACACACAACATCAACTCTGTCAAATAAAAGTTACATAAATGTTAGATTAGAAAAGTCAATGTAAAGCATCCTCCTTGAATATCAACCAGTTTATCAGAGACACACTTTATCTTTCAAATGGCTTTTCTATGGTTTAGAAAGGCAGAGATCGAGCTTCCAGTTTCTGATTGATTAGCGTTTCTGTCTCACACTGAAAGCTCAAAATCACTGAATGGATATTACTGCAGCACTGCACCATGCATAATTCACTTCCTGTTCTATTCAAATGTATCTGTAAAGCTCTTAATGCATTACTTTAAGACACCAGCTATAAGATTATTGCAAATGCTAATCTTCTTTTTAGGAATTTGTAATATAGATATTAGGCAGCTATATTAATCTCTAGAAAATCTACATTTGTAACTCGCTATAGAAGTTAAGAAATATTAAAGCACTGAATCTCTGAACTGCCAATGTGGAGTTAACGCAACATAGAGTAATTATTGTTTTGTCAATTTAAATGTATTCGAATTACAGTGAACACATTTTTTATCCCCATAGCTGAGGATCCACAGAGAGACACTAAACCACTCTGCCAATGCAGACCTACATTAGTAGTTCATATACAGTACGAAGGCTCAGTAGAAGATAGAAGGATCTATGAAGTACGTCAGAGCTCATCCTTCCTGTTACTCGTACCTTCCCTGGGGCCACAGTGTCACACATCAGCACTTCATTGTTAGTGGCAAACTCAGGCAGGTTATCGTTCACATCTTTGACTTTGATGTTGACGCGGACCTTGGTGTCTTGATGGTGGCCTCCTGTACAGGAACAGGGAAGAGTGTTGGATGAAGAGAATAAGACCAAAATTATATGCAATTTCTGAGAAAATATAACCCTTCCTTAACTATAAACACAAGGCCAATGATGTGATATGTGTTTAAATAAAAGGACAATATTTGCAGCAGTCTTTACTGAGGCTCATTTGAAAAGTAAAAACCTTTTACTGAAGGCAAACATATATTTTCACATGATCCGCCTGCATTTTTGTGATGTTAGTCGCTGCAGCCTGTGCTCGGCCCTGTCATTACCAGTGCAGTATTTAGCTTCCCAGGCCTGTTAGTGGTTAGTATAGCCTGCCGTGGTCAGGGCTCGGTGGGCGGCGGGCCCAGTTCCCTCTGTCTGCTGGCGTCGCACATGCCATAGGGAAACCACACAGTGCTTCAGCCTGACCACAGGACTGCAGGGTGGAGCCAAAGAGGGGCCCGGGAGAGAGGGGTCTGAGAGAGAGGGGTTTGAAAGAGAGGTCTGAGAGAGAGTTCTGAGAGAGAGAGGCCGAGAGAGAGGGGTCTGAGAGATGGGTTTGAGAAAAGAGGCAGAGAGAGAGAGGTCTGAGAGAGAGGCAGAGAAAGAGGGGTTAGAGAGAGAGAAGTCTGCGAGAAAGGCAGAGAGAGAGGCAGAGATGGAGGCAGAGAGAGAGGCCCAAGAGAAAGGCAGAGAGAGGCAGAGAGGGAGGCAGAGATGGAGGCAGAGAGAGAGGCCCAAGAGAAAGGCAGAGAGAGGCAGAGAGGGAGGCAGAGATGGAGGCAGAAAGAAAGGCCGAAAAGAGAGGCCCGAGAAAGATGCAGGGAGAAGCAGAAAGAGAGGCCAGAGAGAGATGCAGGGAGAGAGAGGCCCAAGAGAGAAGCCGAGAGAGAGGTAGAGATGCTAAGGAGATAGTTATCTACAAGATAATCCATATTCTTATGTTGATATAGCACAAACCTATCTCTGTGGCAGACACAGAGATGTTGTGCCAGGCCTGTGTCTCTCGGTCCAGGGGTCTGGTTGTGGAGATCATGCCGTCCTCAGAGTTGATGCTGAAGAACTGCTCCACGTCAGTGTATCGAGGTATCATGTACCTGCAACATTAGTTAGAAATGTTTCTAACATTCCAACATTCTCTTAGAAGCTAAAAGAAACAATATTTAATGACACCAGTTCTTTATATTTTCATATTTTCCAATTTACACTTTTTGACACTCATTTTTGTAACAAATTCACAGTTAAAAAAGGTCTAATGTAACTTTAATGATAACGATTAGTACAAGAATTTCCCACCAATGTTAAAATAATAATAATAATCAGTGACTATACCTTGAAGAGTTATGCTGTAGATCTAATAATATAAATAATATTGTTGCTTTAAGTTGTTGCTACTGACCTCTCAAAACAATTTAAAACATATTCCTCCAATATGCAGAGCTATTACACATAATGAGTCTTACCTGACTGGGTTGTTGGCCACATCAGTGTCCTTGGCGTGGACTCGTCCAACAGGAGTCCCCTCAGGAGCATTCTCCTGCACCTCAAAAGTGTAAGAAGGAGCTACAAACACTGGGGGCTCGTCTGCGTCCTCCACTGAGATCTGCATCACACACATTGACACGAGACATAACAATGATGAAGGCTGGAGGAGACAAACTTGATTCCAAAAAGGAAACCAAAAATGAGATCATGTTACGTTGTTAAATGTTAGTGATATGTTATATGATGCTTTTCAAACAGACCTTTATTGTGGCTTCGTCTTTGTAGGGACCCCAGGACATGAAACGGGAGTCCAGATGTGGGTTGGATCCCTCCACTTTGAGTGTGTACATCCTCTTGGTTTCATAGTCCACGTGCTGAGTGAGAGAAGACGCAAGCAGAGGGGACAGAGGGTCACGTCTCAATCTCACTGTCAAAACAATGGCAGCAAACAAACATCTCCCTGAGTCATCTGAATGAGCAAAATACTCTTTCTGAACCATCCATTGTAGTTCAGCCATGCACTGCTAGGGGGAGCTATCGCTGCATGAGTGCGCATGGTCTGGCATTACCAGCTGCAGACATCGTGTGTCATTATGGCTCATAGAAGCAGAGGAGAGCAGAAAACACAAGTGAACAGCGAGTCTATTGGAGCATTATATGAGAGAATAGTGGCACAGAGGGAGAGAGCAAAGCTGTTGAGTTGAGTCAAGAGCCCACAGCTCTACTCACTGCTGGAAGATGATTTGATGGGGGAGATGAGAAAAATGACAAATCTTACAAAGCGCTCTGAGGGAGACAGGGAGTGTAACATTGTACTGAATGAAAACTGCATATCTGAGAAGCTTCATGAAGGGACACATACAAATGTCCCTATTGTCTCCTTTGATAATCATTAGGAATAATCACCTGGCTTAATGCTAGCACACCTGTATACTTATGTACATGTCACGTTTTTGCATGTTTTTTGTACATCAATCATCAAAAAAAATATATATATATTTTTTGGCCGTCCTGGGTGAATTTGACTTTGATATGTATATGTGCATCACTGGATACAGTGTTTGTTTGTAAAATAATAATAATAATAATGATGTATTGTGATGATCCTCTCCTTCAGAGGGCCAGGTTCCTGCAGCGTTCATACATAGAATTACTCCTCTCTGCAAACTGTGAGTGGTTGCCTTGAAGATGTACTTTTTGCCTCCAAAAAGATGCATTGCATGACTTTGTTGCCAAGGATAATGTAGCCTGGAATGTACCAAACTGTGACTTGAACATTATGTTATGTTGTTACAGCTTTTGCTCGGCAACCTACATTTTTACATTCTGACAGCTCTTCTTTCCGCAGATGTGACTTTGGAAGTCACCTGCTTGTCTCTGATATTGATTAAAAAAAACAACCAGGAAATGTGTGCAGTGCATCTTTAGAGAAACATTGTAATGTTCTATTAGTGTGAAAAGCAGCAGAGATTAAATGCAGTGATGTGCAGCAGTTTATTCTGAGTTGAGACTGTCGCAGAAGGCCAGTGATCTCATACACAACCTATAGCCTGAGTCTCAGTGCCTAATCCTATTGTGCCTCCTGAAGGAGGAGCTTATGTGCAGAGCACTGAACGCTCCAGAGACGCTTGGCTTTGATTATGAGGCTGCTGTTGACAACAGCACTTGGCTGCAACTCAACTTCCTCTTGCTTCTACCATTGCTGTTAGCACAAGAAATACACCTCTTTATGCTGAGGAGCTTGAGCTGGGAGAAAACATGAGAGTGTGCTATTGGCAAACTCGTACACATTTCTTTCACTCTTGTGTGATGACTTTTCCGAACAAAGATCACTCCACTCATAACTATTACAGTAACTTCACAATGACAAGACAATTTCCAATCCAGTGTCTTCAGTTTAACCATGAATGTTTACATACAGTTAATAAATATAGAACCAGCTCTACTGTCCATACAGGTGTATAGCTCAGTCATGTCAGGATTTCATGTTATGTTTAAACAGTTCACAGACCCTGCTCACAATGAGGTTGTTCAAGTGAACGCATCATTCTTCCTCTCCTGTGTGTGTAATGAGACCGGGCTAATGTCCGACACCCCCCTCTTTAATATTCTGGAGCGCGTTCATCAGGACACAGTTGAAAGAGAATAGCAGATTAAAGGCGCTCCCGTGAGTCTGTTTGTGGAGCAGAAAGGGAGACTGAAGATTCACTCCAGCTTTGTTTATCAGCTGTTACAACCTCAGTGTGTAGCGGCTGATGAGCCATGAGCTGGTGCTCTGCATGGTTTACACTCTACATGTGGACTCCTCGGACATATGTGCCTCACTTATGAGCTTAGAGGGAAAAGCACTGAGGATCTGAGGTCTCAGTGACTGATCCATATGGGATAAAATGCTTAACGTGGTTCATGCTACATTGATGTGTAAATAATAATATATAATTATAGATAATTATAAACGTTTGAATGCACTGGAAATGACAGAAAGTCCTAAGTAGCTCTGAAACAGTTGTTGTTTTGTGCTTTACAATTGTTATTTTTCTTGCTTTTTTCTACCTGTAAATGTTGCTGCAGCACTGTGTTCATGGTTTTACACTGATCCAGACCAGAGCAGAAAGGATTCATGGTCCAAAACAAGCAGATCAAGCAGAGATCCACTGGAGGAATGCTAACTTTTTGAAAAATGCTTACAAAGCATTCAGCATTTTATTCTGGACAAGAGCAGAGAAAATGGTCAGAACCAAGCGGCTGCTCCTCCTCTGCTGCTGTGACCTTAAGTTCTGTTGCATTTTAATACTTCTACTATTGTTAGCTACTTTTAGAATGATCTATTTATTTGTTTTGTTTGTATAGATGGATGTGTTTCTGCTGCTGCTGGACACTTCAATTTCTCCTACGGGGATCAATAAAGTATATATATATCTATTTATCTATCTACTGTATCTATCTATCTATATATCTATCTATCTATATTAATCCTATACAGCAATCTGACTGGTATATTCTTAAATGTTTTTTAGAGAGAGCTTAGATGTGTGTAAGGCTAAAGAACATCACAGATAAGTCTTGATAATAATAATAATAATAATAATGAAAAATCTTTATTTTATTTATTCTATTTATTTATAAATTGTATTCATTTATAGCGCTTTAAAAAAAATGATTCTTGATTTGAGCATATGTTTGACTTTTAATCTTTTTTTATAACAACATTTGCTGATGGAACAAGCAAAGGGGATTAAAATGGAAAAAAAAACATGATAGTTTTTTATATTCTTTTTCAAAATGGTCAAAACACTTTTTGATGAAGTAAATACTAATGACTTATGTCAACTTGATGTATGTACTTTTGTCTGTGTTTTTGAATGTTTGTCTCTTTTGTGGTAATCCCTCGTCTCCATGGCTCATTGACACATTGATTCCTTCTGCAGTTAATCCAGCGGCTGACAGAAGAGGGCCGACTCATTTTCAGTGGCTCCCTGTTCTGGGGACATGATTGACAGCTGAGGAATCAACAAGGCGAGGAAACAGAATTGGGACAAGGTCATAGAGTCTGGTCAGACACCTCTGGACCTGTACATGGTCCATATGCCCACGCATACTGGACACATGCTGTTATTTAGCGTCATCCATCAAAAATACATGAGTTTTTTATACATCTGTTTGTGAGAAATTGGGCACTTTTATTTAGCTAAGGATCAATCCAGGTTTGTCTGTCTGTCTGTCTCCCTCTCTGTCTGTCTGTGTCTGTCTGTCTGTCTGTCTGTCTGCGTGTGTGTCTGTGTGTCTGTCTGCCTGCCTGCCTGTCTATCTGTCTGCCTGTTTGTCTGTGTATCTGTCTGTCTGTCTGCCTGCCTGCCTGCCTCTCTGCCTCTCTGTCTGCCTGTCTGCCTGTCTGTCTGTGTGTCTGCCTGCCTGCCTGCCTGCCTGCCTGTCTGTCTGTCTGTCTGTCTGTCTCCACATGTAGATATATCAAACTGAGAGGTCCGTCAGTTTGGTTCCTGATGTATTTTCTCGCAGTCAGACAATCACAGCATCTGTTGTGGGAGACCAGGCTCAGAGCTCAGTTCTGAAGTCTCTGTTGCTCACTGCACACTCGGTTCTGTCCTACTTCTACAGCTTCACAAAATATATCTTTATTTATTCAGACAGATTTTCCCACTGACTCAGAGACACACACACTCATCATCATTTTACAGTCATATTTCACAAACGTCTGTTTTCCTGTAAACATGTTCATACTGATGGCTGCCATGGAAACAAATATTTGGAATAGTATGGATATTTCTACTCAGGTAAACGTGTTAAAGTTCTTTACCTAAATACAAGTAAAGAATTTCAAGCCTTTCTATGTATATTGTTGTCCACAACTAACACATGAACATAGAAGAAGCCAAAACGAACAAATACAATTAGAAGCATGGCTAACCAGAATGAAACAATTTAGATAGGTCACAGTTTTTCTTTTTTATGTTTAGTTGACATCTACAAAGTCACTAATCCATTTAAACATGTAGTGAGTAGAAAGTACAGAAACTTGGGTTTAAAAGTGAGGAGTAAAATTAAACATTTGTCATAAGAACAATTAGTCAGTAAGGTTCTGATACGACGACACACATAAGAGTACTTAGTTACTCTTAGCACCGGTGCCTCAGTATTCATCCCTCAGCCTGTTCCAGGGACACTGGTCACCGTGGAGATCCTTTACGCCTCTCCCTTCTGTCATTAACTTCAAGATTAACAACAGCCTTGTGCTGCGTCACGCTCATAATGTCACAAAATAAAGATTGTGAGGTGACATTTTCCATGGCTGCTGCCTGTTTGAGCTGTAGAGAGGCGGCAAAAGCACTCTGCGGTCCCGCTTGGCTGCTCTGGCGGACCAAGGCTGTATGCTAATTACACACTAGCACCAAAAGTCTGCCAATTTAGAAAGAAACACAGCAAACAGAGGAGGAAAAACACACAACAAGAGCACGTTTTATGCTTAAGTCGCTTTCAACATGGCCCTGCATTCTGCGTGTGCGGGGTTAGAAGAAGAGTGACGTGACTATCCATAGGTTTCAGGATGATGACAAATTAGGACCGTTGCCATAGCTACAACCGTTTAATGAACACATTTCTCTTTTGTTATATTTCTGGGCCTTAAACGTGATCTTGTGTGTTGAGATTTCATGATGTAGAAGCTAAAATAGAATCTGAGTAGAAACATCAGCAATAATTGGCAGTGCTTCTAACTGTGGGAATTACATCCCTCAATACAAGCCATTTACCACATGTTCAAACAGTTATAACAAATGCTATTTCAACACGTCTAGAGAAGATTAAGTCTTTCAAAGCCTCAAAATACTACAGAAAAGCCCCGGAGCTATGCCACAGATATAGAAGATTAAACATGGATATTTTAAGGAGTAAAAGATGACTGAATGAGTCATGTTTATTTCATTATTTGCATTAAGTAACATATTTGGAAACAACATCTTTGATATTTTAACTCATGTTTTTAATATTCTGTTTGATCTTAATGGCCCTGATTTATGCCTCATGTGATGGGGCTGTGAAGCACTTTGTGTTACCTTGTGTTGGAAAAGCACTCTACACATAAAGGTTGGTTGATTGATTGATGTTACACCGACTGAAAGTCTGTAATCATCACATCGTTTACAGAATGTGGTGCCATCATGTTGCTCTTCCTCAGAGCGAGAGCTGCTCCTACCTTCTTGAGTTTGATGACCGCTTCCCTGGTCTCGGAGTCTGTGGACAGCTCAAACACGCCCATGCCATCCCCGTCCAGCAGGCTGTACGTCACCAGGCCGTTGTCCCCCAGGTCGGGGTCTTTGGCCTTGAGGCGGCCCACCTCCTCCCCGGGCACGCGGTCCTCAGAGACAGACATGGGGTACACACCTGGACACAGACAGGTGCACCTGTTAGTTTGTGGTCACTGTTGTGTGGGCATTGAGCACCTTTCTCAGCCTTTAGAGGAGCGCTGGCCGGCTGCCACACTCTTTACACCAGGCCTGGGTCACGGGGGGAGGGCACCGCAGATTAACATGAAGCCTACCATCTGTGTGAATGTGCCCAGAGGAGGGAGCACACCCGCAGGATATTAATACTCCAACAGTGTCAGGTGTGTACATGTGTGTGTGTGTCTGTGCAAATGTGGGCACCTGGCTTAGAAGTGGAGCACCAGAACCATATGTCCACCACCCCTCCCTCTCCAACAGCTTGCCCCTTCCCACCCAAGCCCCTCACCTCAGCCTCCAGTGCTTCGCTCTGCACATCTGTCTTGAGCCGTTTAGCACCCAGACCCTGACTGCAGCCTGACTGCATCCCGCTCTCCTCTCTCTGTCACTGTGACGGCTACAGCCAGAGGAAAATAGCCTCGGAGCCATAAGCTGGATGTACATGTCACAGATGAAAGAGACAAACTATTTGAGGGAAACTGAAGAGGCATAAAGTAAAGCAGATCAGATGGGTCCTTATTTTCACAGGTTAGGACCCGACCCCAATAAGAGACCAACTGAGCCTGGTGCGTGATGCTTTCAAATGTATCTCGAGACCTTGCAACCAAACTTTGGAACAGTAATGGTAAATAACATTGCTATCATATATACAACATAAGCGCAACACCTTGTTCACTTTTGAGCCTTTGATTTTCACGCGTGCTCAGCTGCAGCAAATAAATTCAGACACAAAATTAAACGCACTCCTGAATTTGCAGCATGTAACAAAACCAAACAAAGCAATGAAACACGTGCAGCGAAAGACTGTACTAATCAGAATGAACAAAATGAGTTTGTCCCCTGAATGTAACAGGTGAAACTCTTAGAATATTGTTCAAAAGTCCGTTCACTTTTGTAATTCAACATGCAATGTGAAACTAATGTGTGACAGACTCATTACATGCAAAGTGAGACATATCAAGCCTTTCTTTTTTATAATGTTGATAATTGGCTCACAGCCGTTAAAACCCTAATGGACTGTGCATAATCATCAAGGTTTGACGTGTGATACTTTTTATGTAACAAGTCTTTATCATTTCTTGGTTTCACATTTTGAGTGGATTAACAGAAATAAATGAACTTTTGAGAAATATTCTAATTTTCAGAGTTTCAACTGTATGCATATTTTTTGCGGATAGATGAGCCCTTGTTGCCGCGAAAGAGTCCTGAAGCAACAAGATAATACATCACCTGTAAGCATGGCTCTCTCTGTGCTCTTAAATGCATCTACTGCATCTGGGTTACGTTGTCAAGTGTCTGCGTAAATAGATAAGAAATGGTTTGACAGGATGTGCCCACCTCAGCTACCAGAGGCTACTGCAAGACAAACCATACAGTGCTGAGGTGACTGGTGATGTCACTGGTCTTGTGCCGCAGAGACAGATGTGTGTGTGTGTGCATACTTATGTGGCATATGTATTAAGTGTGAGTCTCCCAGGACCAGAGCAACAGAGCAGTGCTGATGGAGGCCCCGGCTGTGCCCTCATCATTCTGCTGCCGCACTTCCTCTAGTATGTGCCTGCTCCAGGTGTGGCAATCCGGTAAGTCATGAAATTCAATTGGTCGTGTGGCCCGCGGCGCTAGAGCAGGGGATTGTGGGATTTCATCACCCAAACCAATACATTCATTGCTCTTGCTTCGCATTCGCTTCTCCATGTCTTTACCCATCAACTATTTTTATATCTGCCACAGCCCTCCTTCCTATGAATTTCATCAGCTCTCCTTGGATCGAGCATTGCGTTTGTTCACTAGAAATGTCTGTGTTATTTGCTGCTGAGGCTTGGTTCCATATGCCATGTGCCCCTCCTGCCTCACGCTGGAGCACTTGCCTGGCCCCCCGCTGGCCTCACGCCTGTCTGTCCTGTTGTTTCTCATTTGTGAGGCTTCCCCTGAATAACTCATGGCAGCTGAACACAGAGAGGGAGGACACAAGCTGCTGCCATACCTGCCCGGGGCCAAAGAGCCTGCAGAGACACCCGTCTGAAGACTCAGATCCACCACCAGCCTCACACTGTTTGTCATGTCGTTCAGCATTTTGTTTGAATTCATGTTTTGTTTGTTCGTTGTGTGACAGATTAACACTAATGTTATTATAGTCAGAGGGTTGTATCCAAATCTCACCTTATGGCACAATATTTATCATGATATTCAGAAGAGGCTTAACGTAATTAAAGCAATAGAATGGAACTTTCCTGGGGGGAATAATGGAACTTTATTGAACTACAAGCAGAATAGAATCATATTGCGTGTCTACTGTGGCATATTAAAGCCAAAGAACAAAGAGAAAGTTGGAACAAGTGCAGTGACTGTCCCCCGGCCCGTACTGTTTAAGTCATTTTACTGAAGAAGCACGTCTGTTCCATTGAGGACACAAGTTTTTAAAATTGTATTGTTCTTTTTCATCTCAATACTCAACTGATTTGGATGCCTTTTAATGAATTCATTAAATAATGAACCAATTAATTAAAACATACACAAAGTTGTTCTGCAGCTAACTGAAAAAATAACTCAACTTGCTCTGACATTAGGGCGGGGCATAACTGGAGGCAGAAAGTGGGGGTGGTGTCATGTTTAACATTTAGATAAAAAAATTAACTAAATGCGCTCAATAAAACAATGATGATATAATTTGATAACATTTGTGTTGTTATTTTGACGCCCGATGAGTGAATTCTTCATTAGTTTCAGAATGATGATGTATGAATTAAAGCTCGCACACCTCGACTATCTACTATCGTATGTTGTGTATGTAGTACACTACATAAGTAGTATGTAGTACACTACATAAGCATGAAAATAAAAACATCTGCGTTAAAGTAGTAAAATCACATTGAACCACAATTGTCTCTTTATCTGTGAAGGAATAACAACTGAATGTAATATCATGTTAATGATTTCCTAAGCCCTTTAGCCTTGAAATGAGTCCTTCATGCTTTCTGCCTCCAGTTAAGCCCCGCCCACACCTAGAAAACGAAACTGTTTTAATTTACCTTAAATCATTATCATTTAACTGAAGTCCAAAATGATATTATTTCCAGTTTGTGGTCCCACTGAATGAAAGCATTTTGTAAAATAACAATGATTTAACTTTAAAAAAATTTAATTCAGATGAGCCTTACAGAGGGTTCTCACTTTCCTCCCACTGGGTTTTTAGAGTTTTTCGTTGCTGATGCAGGACACTCTAAAGACATCTATTCACTTTTACCGACATTGGTCATCTGCCCCTTATGGACCAATGCTTTTTTAATCAATGCATTTCCTATATTTTGACTGTTTAATTTTATGATCTGTGTTCATCTTCAACAATTGAATGGAATTGAATAGACGGCATTTTCTTAACTACGATATCAGTTTACATAAATACTGTGCATGTACTATTAATTAAAACGATATATCTTTAAAATGAAATGATAAGATATTGTTCCTGGTTTTGTCTGGGTATAAACTTGATAGTACTATTTCCAGCTAAAAGCACAGCAGAGCGGGATCCTTGAACCCGTCTCCGTCCTTTCCCCCTCCCAGCGCTCCCCTGAATAAGTCATCTGTGTCCTGGTTCACCATCTGGAGCTGCGCAGGTGGATGTTCTTTGAAAGTGTTGTAAAAGTCTGAATATTTTCCTGTCTCCCCAACAACATTAATAATTGTCAGTTGTTGATGGATTTACAGTAACGCTGCAGTTGAAAAAGAAGTCCGTTGCTTTTATGAGTTTTTTTCCGATAGAAACATTTAAGGAAAGTCTCAGTGGTGTTTCTGTGGACAAACGTCGATGATTTAAAATAAAAGTTAAAGCACTGCGCCGTACTCACTCTGGGGGAACTTGGGCGGGTTGTCGTTCACGTCTGTCAGGGTGATCTTGACCTCGGTGGTCCCAGAGAGGCCTCCCATGTGGCCCCCCATGTCCTTGGCCTGGATCACTACGTCGTACTCCTCCCGCGCCTCCCGGTCCATGTTGGGCAGTGCGGTGCGAATGATGCCTTCAGGGACACAATAGTAATAATAATAAATCAATGCATCGGTTTTCACGGTGCATCATCTCTCTGTGCACCGTGTAAAAAGTTAAGTTATTTTGTTACTCCACACAGAAAGGTCTGAAGGTGGATTTGAACCCTGGACCTACTTGCTGTAAGGTACAACTGCTAACCACTGCACCCCTGTGCCGCCCTTTTGTGTTGTACATGTTCTGAAATAAATACTTTTGATCGAGTGATTGACGTAAACGACACTGTACCATAGATGCTCTGGGATTGAATTACCTAAAGACGGCGGTCAATCTCCACCACCACCATTTCACACACAGACCACACTCTCAGCGTAGACACAGGCCACATAATGGAGCGAGGTTATGTTAGCACTGTTTTGCTAATGTATACAGTATTCAGCCATGGAATACAGTACCTAACTTTTAAAACACAAATAATTCACTAAGTGCTTTGTGAATTGGGAGCAGCTCTGATTACCGCCCCCCTGACCCAGAAATGGATAATAAAGGAATGAAATTGTATGGATGGATGGAGCTAATTCAATTATGTTATAAAATCCACTACTTTTAACAAGAAAGATTTCTTTTTTACCACACACATCTTGAGATCACCTGTCATAGAGAGAGATAAAAAAGAGAGGACCATTGTCACGCAGCCAATCAGCTTAAAGTCAGGTGGGGCTGTCCCTAACAACTGTTTTACTACACAAGAATTCTATCAATTATCATCCACCTCTATATATTTTTATATTGTTAAATGCATATTTTATATATATTTGAAGAAGGCCTTAATATGTATCATAATCAGCTTTATATAGATGAACAATAGAAACCTGCTTGCTCAACAAAGCCCAATTAGGAAATGCTCATGAACAAAGTTTTGCTCCAACTCGCTCTGGCTCCTATTGACTCTTCAAGCTCAGCTACCGTTACTGTCAAACTCTCCATTTTGGGCTTGAAAAACATTGTTTATCGCTCTCTGTGATCCTAATGTTGATATTATGATGTTGTTTTTTTAAATCCAGATACTTGTATGAGCCTTTTAAAGATTTCACAATTGGCTTCATTCTCAGGGGAAACTCCAGCTTGCCTTGGTAACCGTCTTGGCAACACATTTTTCACTGCTACGCACGGAAAAATGGCCCTATAAGGAAATTGGATGGATGAGGAATTACAATATAGAGTGTTTATGTAAGATTCTTATGTATATAATATAGCTATAAAAGAGTAAATGTAAAGAATGAATACAGTCTAATGGGACTGTTTTACAGACATGACTCCTGTCCTGTATGGTTTGTCTACGCGTAATTGACCTTTTAAAGACTATTGTTCAATCACAATTCTAATGTGTTTCCTTATCTGAAATAAATGCAGGCTTCTGGATGGATGCACAATAATCCTATAATCCAAGAGCATAATATTACAAAAGAGAGAGTGATTAGAAAGCCACATTAAGATGCATATGTTACGTAGCTCTGAGGTCCGTGTTTTGGAACGCTGACTGACGGCTGCTGCGGTTTTAAAGGGCTGTATTTTCCATCCCTGCCTCTCTAATCGAGTCTTTGTGTGCCCTGCCTGGTCTGTCTGTGCCACGTATGTGTGTGTGTGTGTGTGTGTGTGTGACAGCATGAAAAGCTGATAATCTCCAAACCAATTAGAAATGTGAGCAGTGGATTTGAGCCAGGCCGGTTTGATTAGGCAGATTTACCACAGTGCAGCTTGCTCTTGAACGCCTTTCTGTTCATGAATTGCCCTGAGCCCAGCCATGCCTCCCCTGACCTCACCGGACAGATGAGCGCACACACACACACACACACACGCGCGCACATATCCACGCACACACACTTTCCCCACTGCTTGATTTAAGCTTGGAGCGAGAACAGTGCTGGGGTCCTCTGGGGCCTGCTAACAGACTTGGGCACTGTCTAAACATTCACGCGCACAGCCAAATCACGCATCACTTTCATTTTTCTACCGATCAGCACATTGTTTATCAAATTACCGTAGGTTTAAAGTAGTTTTTGTTGGTGTCATTTGGCTCAGGGAACCATATTGTGAGACTTTGTTCTTCTGCCCATGTTTTATTCATAATTCAGTTGGCTTTTTACAAGTGTTTTGAGGATTGTTTTATTCAGCTACTGACTTAGAAATTTCCCTTGTGGATCAATAAAGTTTGTCTAAATTTATGAGATAGCTTGAAACCATTTTCCTCGCGCCCATTTTAATATCAGAGAGAGTTAGTTCTTGTAATGGAGGAGTGTTTTTCTAGTAAAACAAAATCAAAGATAAGAACCGGCCACATGTACAGCATTATTCGAGTGCGTGAGCTTGAATTCATTGTGGAGGGGATGGGGAGGTGGGGGTACTGACCGGTCTGAGACTCCACAGAGAAGTAGGGCTGTCCCTGGAGGATGCTGTAGACCAGACGAGCGCTGTTCCCGTACGTGGGGTCATCTGCGTCCGTGGCGGTCACCTGTATCACCGACGTACCTGCGCCACACACACCATATTCACCATGTTACTTTTACTATATCATCGTTAAATCAGTATCTTATTGTACACCCCAACAGAAACTGAAAGAAGCCATTGGTTCAAAACGGACAACGTTGAAATGGACCTTATGCAAAGTGTGTAAAGTGCTTATGCGTATTTGACCTTGCAGTTATCCTCTTGTAAAGGCACTATGCAGCAATAATATATATATATATAGTTTTTTCACATTTAAAGTTGCAAGGGGCCCCTTTAAATATCAATCGTTCAATACTACATAATAATACAAAATGTGAGAAACATGATTGAGTGATATTTTACATATGTTGTCTGGAAACTGTAATTAGAATATAAGATGATCGTTTCTTACATGATTACTATTGATTTATGGCTCACAGATACTCCCCAAAGGTATTACATTTGTCATTTGTTCTTCATTGATTGCGTATGACGGTAAATTACAAAATGCATTTGAATGTCCCAAGCAGCCGCAGCAGAGCAGTGCCCTGGACATGGCTTCAGTTGAGTTAGTACAGGAGTGGCTAAACTTAAACAAACAAATCCGTTTTAATGCTGTTTATTGTTGTAATACATTGTTTGCATCAAAAATACTGTAAGAGTATAATGCAGACTTCTTTTTGGTTCTCGTTCTCCAGTTTGGGAACCACTGTTAGATGTAAGCCTTTATTTTTTACTTCTTTTTTTGCTTTTAGAAATAAAAACCCACTTGTGAAAAGATCCGTTAGGTCTTCTGTGTTTGAACTATTGCACCACAAGGATAAGTCATTATATATCTTTTCCTTCATCTTATTGACACAGTGGAGAGAAAAAACAGTAAAGATGTGGTTCTTGGCATCATATTTAGTATTTCAAAAACTTTTCCCCTTGGACTTTCATTTCAACTTGAAGAAATCTCACACTATGGTAAAGTTCGCTGTATGGGAAAACTTTTACGGCAAAACTTCTCCAATACATAAAAATTGATTTTGTGAAAATGCTCCCACACTGTTCCTTATACATGAAGCCAGATACATGACAAAATAAGGTGCAGATTGAAGTTAAGTTTTTCCGTTTCCGTGACGGTGCATGTGTCGAGAGATCAAACTATTTTGGCGTCTGGTTTAATGACATTCTCAAACAGCAAACGAACACATGAATAGAGCTCGTCTCGAGGCTGAATGCAGTGGCGTAGGGGAGCTCAACTTCACAGGCCGCGAGTGTGAATGGGCCTAAACAGCGGTCCTGCCTGCTCCGTCAGATGTGCTCTTTAAAGATGTCTCCACTCACAGCAGGGATTTGTGTGTGCGAGAGTGGAGCAGAAACGGTTCATGTGAGGTCAGCCTTCGGGGCCCAAAGCCGCACTCCTCCAGCTTCACTTCTGAGACAGAGAGAGAGAGAGAGAGAGAGCGCGAGCAGACGCTGGAGAGCCGCTCCGGCCAAACTCAAATAGCGTTTACGTGACTTTGCACCGGTTCCAGCAATTTAGTTTCCACTCTTTTGAAAGGTTTATAGAAATGTCAAATCAGAGTGTGAAAAAAAGACTTGAACCGTTTTTCTCAATGATCTGCGGCTATGAATCCGGCGGTGGAAAAACTCCGCTGGTATGTGGAATCAGTCGTGCCAGTCATAATAGCAAAACTTAGAGTGATGCTTCCCATTTCATTCCTAGTGTTTGTTTTTGAGGGATGTCATGGGGCTTGGACGTTCATCGGTATACAAATAATTATGTTTACATATCTGGTGTCACATTGGCCGATATCTCCAAACTAACAGCAACACATTACTGTATAAAGCTGGGGTACTTAAGTTTTGAAGCAGAAAAACTACATCAAACACAAGTAATTATAGTTCCTCACTCTCAAAACGGTTTAGGTTCAATCACATGCATGTATTTCTGACCCCATGTTACAATAATAGATTAGCTTTCTGTCTGATCTTATCGTATATTTTTCAGAGAGAACAGAAAGAAAAAGAAAGGACCACTGTCAATCAGCCAATCAGCTTTCAGGGCAAATTAAAACAATGTTTCTATTAAGATTTTACTTTTACAAGACTCTTTCAATTGGGACAAAGATAAAGTATGGTGTACGGTGCACCAGATTTTCCATAGCATTTATTGTTTTATAGTGGTTTTTTTCATTGTGTATTGTATTTATTGTTGTGGTCTGGAATATTTGTCTCCACAAATAAACATGTCTCACCTAAAAAACAGCCGGTCACAAATCGCTGTCAGCAGGGTGACCTCAATTCTAACTTCATTTCTTGACTTTATTTACTTTCCCCTGTGAAGATACATTACTTAAAGCTGGGGTACCCAACTTTAAAACCACAACAATGTAACTGTATCATAAAACCCATGTAGTTCCTGGCTCTGAAACGGTTTTATTCCATCACTATAGTTTCACCTGTATTTTTGACGTCATGGTCAAATCAGTAGATCAGCTTTTTCAGACAGAACAGCAAGAAACCAGCCTCACACAGCTAGTCAGCTTTCAACCCAAATGCTCAAGTACATACAACTTACAATTATGCAAAAGATAACATGGTTTCTATCACAGTGAAAGCAGCATGTTGTGGCCTTTAAATTTTGCAAGACTCTTTCGTTTCGTTGGACAAATGGTGTTCATGAATAAAAGACGTTGAGCGCTCCAGTTTAAATGCCGTACGTTGAAAAGTTCAAGGCAGATCAATACAACAACACACAAGAAAGGAGCAAACTCTGCATACAAAGATTTAAATACTGCTCCTTGCTTCCATTGTAAGAACTTTAGCACATTTTGTCATGTTTTCAACCCTAAATATGAAGGTTTTATTTGAATATTTGATGAAAGTTCACACACCAACAACAGACAACTGTGAAGTGAAAGTAAATGATACATGATTTTATTATCATTCTAAAAATAGAAAAGAGAAAAGTGTAGCAGGGCACAAGTTTTCATACAGCATTATTCTGAATTCATTAAATTGCCTTCAAAACATGTCTAATGAATGCTGAATGTTCACAACCTGGCCACACGATTAAAGCACCTGTGTGTAATCTACTCTCAGAGCTATAGTCAGAGAGCATCGGTCACCACAGAGGTCAGGGACACAGTTATGAAGACGTTTTAAGCATTGTTAGGTTAAACATACATTTCCCATGCTTTGAACATCTCACAGAGCACTGTTCAATCCACTATTTCGGAACTAAAATGGTATGGCACCACTTCAAATCTACCAAGACTCGGCTGTCTTCTGATCACACTGATCTCAGAAGCAAACCCGAGGCCCACGGTTTCTTTGGTGGAGCTGCAGACATCCACAGAATCTGTACATGTCTTGTGGTCAGATGACAACATTTATCTTTTTGGCGCAAACTGCTCATCTCCCTCAGTGCACCATCCCCTGTATCAAATATGGGGGTGGCAGCATCATGTTGTAGTAGTGCTGCTTTTCTTCAGCAAGGATAGGGAAAGGTGTCAGAGTTGACGGGAAGGTGAAGGGAGAAAAATACGGGACAAGAAGCTGGGGATTTGTTTCCTATTAAATATGAATGATTACTTTTGCAAACCTCACTTTTAAGTTTTTGGTTTTTTTTATGTTGAAAATCCTGTATCATTTTGTTTTCACTTCACAGTTGTCTGTTACTTTCTGTGGTCTTTCAGCAAAATATCAAAACTAAAATAAAAGTTTAAACACGGCGACAGGTGCATTAGTTCAAGCTTTATTAATACTTTCGCAAGGCACTTTTATATATTTGTATGTTTTTTACTCTCTATCAAAGCACTGATGATAAATTTTTTTTCTGCTTGTGAACCAGAGCGACTTCACAGCCAGTCGACCCAGTGACACTCACCCACATTGGACATCTCTGGCACATTGGCGTAGTACGGTCCATGGAGGAACTCGGGAGGGTTATCATTGATGTCTTGCACTTTGACGATGAACTCAGAGGGAGGCTCCAGGGGCTTGTTGGTGTCCCGGTCCACGGCCTGAGCTGTGAGGGTGTACTGAGCCTGCTCCTCGCGGTCCAGCGTCTTGGTGGCGTGGATGTTCCCCGTTTTGTCATCAATGACGAAGATGGTGCCGGCTCCTTCTCCCGACAGAATGTACTTGATATACCCGTTGCCCGAGTCCACGTCTGAGTGGAGCTGTGGACGGGAAAGAGCCTTCATCAAAGCTGGGAGAACTAACTTTAAAACGACAAAAATATGGAACTATGTAATAAAATCCATGTAATTATCTCCTTGGCTCCATCACGAGTGTGGCCCGGAGTCTGAATAAAGAAATGAGGATGATTAACATTAACATTACATGATTTTTTGGTCTCTGTCACATCTTCAGATCAGCTTTTTTAGACAGAAAAGTAAAAAAGAATGGACTATTCTCACAAAAGCCTCATATAGAGACTTAAGTTTACAAAAGATTTTCTAAAAAGACAAAGACACAGCATGGTGTGGTCTGCTTTCTGTTGGAACAAACAACATGCACTATTTAGGCTTAAAAAATAGTATTAACTTACTAAGGTAGTTACATTCACTTGTTAAACATTTGAATGTATTTAAGTTACATACATACATTCTCTATTTCATTTGTTTTATTTATGTATGGTGAAAACTACACTTTTGTTACAAGCAATCAGACAGACAATATAGGGGCAGTTACGAATATAATACTGTTGTGTGGTCCATGTCAGTTTGATGATTGTAAACAAATATAAAATACAGAATAATAAAACAGTAATCATCCATTTGACAACCAGACCATTTATAATAATAACGATAATAATGCATCAATTTAGCGCTTTTTTGGACACTCAAAGACGTTTTTCATTATTCATTCACCTCATACATGGTGGTGATAAACTACTACTGTAGCCCTGGGGCACACTGACAGAAGCGAGGCAACCAGTATGTGCCATCGGCCCCTCCGACCACCACCAACCATTCACACACACACCAGACTCATTCTAGGCAATGGGGGTGAAGTGTCTTGCCTAAGGACACAATGGCAGTTCGGCACTTTACAGCCGCAGCCGCCCCACTGTGGCTGTTGTTCCCAGAGGTTAAGTGTCTTGCCAAGGACACAACGACAGCAGACAGAGGGAGTTGATGGTGAAAGTCTTGAGGTGGACTCGAACCCACGACGTTCTGGCTCAAAGGCCAATGCTCTACCAACTGAGCTACCGTCGCCCTTTATCTGTAAATATGTCAGCTTCATCTGATATACATCCCTTAACCTGCTTTTCACATACAGTACATTCTTTTTATAGCACTCTACGCAGCTACAATTTCCATAAAATAATCTTGACAGCTACTTTTATCTTTACTTTCTCTGCATTATTTCATAGGTAATTGACTAACATTCATTCAGTTCATTCATAACCGACGTATGACAGTGGCGCTGAGGACTTACCCTGCCCACCAGGACGGGGTCGGGCCCGAGGTACTCCTCAATGACAAAGAACTGGTTCCACACCCAGCCTCGTTTGGAGCGGTGCAGGACCTGGCCCACCTTCCCCGATCGGTGATGGTGTCTGTGGAGGGACTTGTGACCTGGACGACAGACGCAAAACATTACACTCATTCTACTGCATCTCACGTGTTTATTATTGATCATTTTTGAGCAGTCTTCCCCATGGTCTTGGATCATAATCGCTTGTGGATGAAAATGTGTTGCGTTCATGGTGTAGAATTGTATTTCTGGTGGAGGGCAGAGGCCAATATAACATACTTTGAAGGACTGGGTTGTAAAATAAAATGTCCAAATGTTTTCCCAGATCATGATTTCATATTTATTAGATTCACAAATGTGCCATAATATTCTTATGTTTGAGAGAATGTTTTTGAATATCGTCACCACTTTGCAGACACCTTCATGAGAAAAATTGGTTGAATAATTGTTCTTATAAATTTCCAACTACATGTATGAACTTCATGACAGTGTTTTTTGTATTAATCTTTTATCTTATTTTATTATTTGATCATTTATCAATTATCTTAAACAATAGATCCTGTTTGATGTGAGTTCTCTTATTTATCTTTCTTTTCTGATGTAACGTGTATTATAATTTTTAGATAACATTTTATCCCATGTTGGCCTCCGACAGGGCTGCCCTTTGTCACCGGTTCTGTTCACTGTATTTATGGACAGAATATCTAGGCGCAGGGGGTCCGGTTCGGGGACCACAGGATTTCATCTCTGCTGTTTGCGGACGATGTTGTCCTGTTGGCTCCAACGAACCAGGACCTGCAGCATGCACTGGGACGGTTTGCGGCCGAGTGTGAAGCGGCTGGGATGAGAATCAGCACCTCCAAATCTGAGGCCATGGTGCTCGACCGGAAAAAGGTGCCCTGCCCTCTCCAGGTGGGTGGAGAGGTCCTTCCTCAAGTGGAGGAGTTCAAGTATCTCGGGGTCTTGTTCACGAGTGAGGGAAGAATGGAGCGTGAGATTGACAGGCGGATCGGTGCAGCGTGCGCAGTGATGCGGTCTCTGTATCGGACCGTTGTGGTAAAGAGGGAGCTGAGCCGAAAGGCAAAGCTCTCGATTTACCGGTCAATCTTCGTTCCCTCCCTCACCTATGGTCATGAGCTTTGGGTAATGACCGAAAGAACGAGATCGCGGATACAAGCGGTCGAAATGAGCTTCCTCCGCAGAGTGGCTGGGCGCTCCCTTAGAGATAGGGTGAGGAGCTCAGTCACACGGGAGGAGCTCGGAGTAGAGCCGCTGCTTCTCCACGTCGAGAGGAACCAGTTGAGGTGGCTCGGGCATCTGTTCCGGATGCCTCCTGGACGCCTCCCTGGGGAGGTGTTCCGGGCACGTCCCACCGGGAGGAGGCCCAGCGGAAGACCAAGGACACGCTGGAGGGACTATGTCTCTCAGCTGGCCTGGGAACGCCTTGGGGTCCCCCCGGACGAGCTGGAGGAGGTGTGTGTGGATAGGGAAGTCTGGGCGTCTCTGCTTAGACTGCTGCCCCCGCGACCCGGCAACGGATAAAGCGGAAGAAAATGGATGGATGGATGGCATTTTATCCCCACCGCTGTCAGACTGTACAATAAGTCACTTTAAGTCACTTGCATTAGAACTGAAAAACTTGCACTACTTATTGACACTGTTTCTTGATTGCCACTTTGAATTGCCACTTTTTATTGTACATAATATATCCTGCATTGAACATGTTTGCACATTTCTTTCTTTTGCACGATCTTGAGTGATTCTATCTATGCCAGATGTGACATGTACATTTCTCCTGTGTGAGATCAATAAAGTCTATCTGATCTTATAGTTACCAGGACATATCTTTAAGCTGGAATGTTGTGATGTCGCATGAACACCATCTTTTAGTAAGTAATATTTTTGACATTAATGTTAGATACTTTGTAATACAGTGCTATAAATTAAAACGTGTTGCTGATTTACATGCTGTCTATGTACTTGTCTAGTGCACACCGGGGACTTTTGTAAATGTATACCAATGTGGTTTTACTGCAAATGGCAAATAAACTGAACCTTAATCTGATTTATGTTACAATGTTTTTCTTTTACCTCACCAGGAGCTATAGATTATCAATAACTCAACCACCCGCAGGACTCGGATAATGAGACATATTTCTAACACTTTTGAACAGAAAGAGCTCTTCTTTCTGTGTGACTTCTGTAAGAGTGAGCCACCTCTTGATGAAAATGCATATGCCGGACGCTCTCTCTGACCTGGATGTCTGTGTGAGTGTGCTCTGCTCTCCAGCGTGGCTCCTCTCCTGGTGGCTGACACGATGCTGAAGAGACTTGTGACCCCCAGGAGTAGTAGGAGGCCCCTGAGTAGCCCCTGGGCCCCGCGTTTGCCCATCAACGCCATGACACTGCTCCTCCTTTTGCGCTGGCAGACCGCTGAGTGGATCTGAGAGGGTTAGATCCGAACAGACCGGCTGCTGTCACTCATCACAGTATCTGAACCTGAAACACACGAGAGGAAGGATAAGGCTTCCAGTTTGAACTCAGGCTTCATATCAAAAGTCATTTTGATAACAAGACCACCCAGCTCATCACCTGCTCCACCCTGAAGGGAACAGACCATGGCATCCTGAGCAAAAACCCTTCTTTTTTGATTTGATCAGAATATCATCTCCAGAACAGAAGATTGGCCTCTTGCTTTTACATATACAATTATTTCAAGCTTTGATAAATGTCTGAGAATATTCCAATTTATTCATGCATGTTTTGAGTTGTTTATTTGTTGTATTTCAGAACTGAAAATGCTAACATGTACCTTCCCCCTTTCCCCTCCCACACTAGCCTGGTCCCTGTGTTTGCAATTTCATCAGTTGAATTCCAAACGACCAACCAGAGAGCGCGGAAGGTGGGTGTTGTAGTTTGTTGTGGGTGACGTCAAGAGTTTGCGCCAAATGGGCTGGTTGTAGTTTGGCAATGACAAAGAATGCGATAGTAATGTATTCCGGTCTGGTTCTATCAAGAAACTGAAGCCGGAGCAAGAGGAATGGAAGCAAAAGTCATTGCTGGCAAAGATTGTGGCGCTACTCGCCACGGGCTCCGTTAGCGGCAAAAGAGATGGCTAGGCTAAATGTAACGACTCACTTGGGCGCATTGCATACGTCACGGTAAACTCAGATCCAATCGTTTCAATCTGCAAAAGGAGTTAACCCCTCCCACCTGTAAACGGAGCTCAATGGAGCACCTCCAGGCCTTTGTACGAAATGTAATTTGTACTATAGTGTGGTACGACCAGGCTACTCCCACACACTATTTCTTAATATAATAATCTGGGTCTCATATTGGGTTCAATAATCTGATGAAAGAAATAGGGTTGAATGAGAAATAATTTTTTAACTCTTAATATTCATGCTAGATATGATGATATAGCTGCAAGATTACTATATGTTTTATTCAGAAACAAAAACACATCTAAAAGTACAAAAGACTGAGGTTTTTTGTGTGTAAAACTATAACAATTCTACTGGGAAATTGTGTTTCTTTATCAATATCAATCCAACGTTCACTACAGTATTAAACACTGATGCAAGAATTTATTTTTCTGTTCCTATTTCTTGATCAGTATTACAGAAAAAAAATCACATAGCAGCAAGACACACCCTGAGCTCTTCCTTGTGCAGATTGATTCTCCAGTTCTGGTTTTGGATGCACAAATTGAGTGTTGTGTGGATGTGTGTGGACTGATGACTTGATGCCAGTGCCTTCCAGCTCATTACTGTAAGTGAATTAGACACACGCAGATGCTCGATGGGGGCGCAGCAGCTACAGCCTGAAGCACGTGACCACATGAACTATCTGAAGATGGCTGTTGATCATTTGTCAACTTTGTCAACAGCACATCTGCTCTAATGTTTAGCACAGTGTCACATCCAGCTGTGGAAAAATGTGTCTCGCTCCAGATATTTACTAGACTTTCCTCCAGTCTCGAGGTCACTGACGCTTATTGGATTCTGCAGTTTGACTTCAGTGCGACCTCACAGACGGCCCCTGGCTCACGCGCTGTAGGGCCCCTGCTTGCCTCCTGATACGGCTGGTCGATGTGTGAGGACTCAACGCGGTGTCAAATGCAGGGAAATGAAATAACCACATTGTTTTCATATTGTATTTATGAGTCATTCCCTGTACTTAAATTCAGCCATTTGTATCTTGTGTCTTGAGCTGAATGTTGTCGCTCTAAATATAGGATTTGTTAAGTTTAGTCTCATTTTAAGCACAGTGTAATTGTATTTTGTGAAGTTTTCTTTTCTCTCATAACAAAGACGGCACTGTCAATTAAAACCAACATTTAATTTGTTAAAGTTAAGCAACATTTTCCATATAACTCTCTGTTGTGTCATGTTGAATTTTAGACAAGCCAATTAAGTGTGACAATATTGCTGCATACCGCAAAACAACAGTATTTTCCAATCAATCATTTTTAGGAATGGAGTTTACAAATGGGCCTTGGCAACAAAAAGCTATAGTGTTGTTTCACATGTGATTGTCTACACTTGTCCGTATCAAATAAATCAATACATCATTAAAAAGTGAATCAAAAAATGTGTGAAATTCCCACCATAACTCTTAAAACATAGGCTATAAAAAACTTTTAAAAAACATTTTAGGAGTAAAATGTGAGCTCTATAACAGGCCCAATGAAAAAAAGTAGCTCTGAAATAGATCACAATTCCTTCTTCTTTTTTCCTGAAATGACCAAAGAAGAACAGAAAAGTCTCCTCCTTTTCATGATACCGGTTTAGTGAGACTTCAGTGCGGAAGACACGGCACCTCGGGGAGCTGTTAAAACTGCAGTCTGATTTAGCCGTCCAGTACATCACACACAATCACCATGTCGAGACACAGAAAAACTAAATGATCACGGTAGCAGCAGTGGGTGAGGCCTGAGGAGGCTTCAGGCGGCTGCTCTGGGGGTGTCCTCTTACTGCGCTGCTATCTGCGGTCTGCTAAAAGCTGAAACAGACACCGCACCAAGAAACCCGAGATTTAATTGCCTTTCAATTAGAGCTGGTAACAGGCTTCTGAGGCGGCCCAGAGTGATTAAAAGGAAAAAGTGCTTTGCTCTCTCAGCATTCTCCTAAATCAACTAAAAAAAAACAACAACCCTGGATTATAGACGCTTCTGCAACTTGTTCCCACTAAACATCCGACGTCCACTCAACCTCCAGATCACGTCAATATCGCGTCGGTCGGTCGTGACCTTTTATTTACGTCCAAACGACGTCTGTGCAAGGTGCGCATCTGGACGTAAAACAATGACCTCCCATATACGTGGATATGACGTTCAATCCCGACCTCCCCTAGACGTCGAAAACAGGTCATCGGCCGACCGACGCAGTACGTCTTGATCTAGCAATACAATATATAGGCTGTGAAGCAATATAAGTGAACCTGACGGTAGTGTAGTGGTTAAGCAAACGTGTGCAGTCTTGGTTACGTGGGTTCGAGCCCATGTGTGTGTGTATTATTATCTTTATATATTTGTTTTGATTTTTAACGAACAATTTTTTCCTGTTTGGTTAAAGACTAATAAACACTCAACATAGGATTACGTAGTGGCTAATAATAAAACTTGTGAATGTATGCATTTGTTGTGCTAACAATCTCAAGTTTGCAAATAAGGGGTGAGCACTTGAGATTTTATGCAAATGCATGGGTTCACAAGTTTTATTATTAGCCACTACATAATCTTATGTTGAGTGTTTATTCGTTTTTAACCAAACAGAAAAATTGTTCGCTAAAAAGTGAAAAGTCAAAAGTTTTCCGACGGGGATTTGAACCCGCGTCGTTGCGACTGAAGTCTCATTACGCAACCGCTACACCACGGCCAGGCATTTTTTCTGACTACTGTGAAAAATTAATAAATAACACCCTAAACAACCGACGCACACTTATGCGCCGCGCAAGTATAACTTATAACTTTACAGCCTGACACGTGAGTCGCTCGGTCGAGGACCTGTTTTCCACGTCTAAACGACGTAAGGTGTGCATCTGGACGTAAAGCAATGTCTTCCCACACGTTGATATGACGTTGAATCTGTACCTCTGTCGCTGCCCTGCTTTATTTACTTGGAATCATCCTCTCTAGTAAGTACACAGTCTGCACAGTTTTTAGATATAGATGTATCATTTCCACATTGAAAAGAGTTGGAGACAGAAAGTAAGTTGTTTTCTCACGTATACGTGGATTTTGTTAAGTATATTTTGTATATTATCTGTATTTTGAATTGCCAGTGCATGAATCTATAATAATAACGGCTGGCACTGCTCAGCTGAAAGGGAGACACCTTTTTTTAGTTTTTAAGTTAAAGTTTAAAATATGATATTGTTTTTCATATTTCAAACTATTTTTAACACATTAGAATTCTTAGGTTAGACTGTCCAACAAAGTATGTGTTAAAAAAGGTTAAAGGTATATAAGAGGATTATCCCAAATTTATGGAAAGAACCGCCCTCTCCACTTTTTGAACAAAACTCTCTGGTCTTATTTGAGGAGCATGTATCACCAGAATGATTGACAATTGGGAGGACCAATAGTCTTGATGATCCACCCGGAAATATAACATCCTCCTCTGTACCTTTAAGATTCTTGAGTTTTAAAATAATAATTCAATTCTAAAATGTAAAGTTACTGTATATTTCACAATGGTTTATAAACTGCAAAAAGACAACAGTATTTAGTAAACTAAGTTTAAAAACAGGGAGATCAGCTTTAATATTTGGGACACTCCCATCATTTAGACACCTGTGATGTCATCAGTTGGAGTTGAGTTCAGGTGTGGGACCATGTGGGACCATGTGGGACCATAGGAGCACACAGATGTTACCTGCTGCAGAAAGAGAGTTTAATGTTCATGTATTGCTTTGTTTAATAAATTGATTTAATGTCTTCCCAGGTCTTCAATGTCAGAGACTTTCACTTCTTCTCACTGTGGCTGTTTAAATGAGCCACTACAGTTGTTATTTTTGTTATTGTTAGCTGCAAATATTAAATATCCATTCATCTGCTGGTAGCAAGCTAACTAACGCTTGCAACTCTATTCAATTTCTTACTTTTTCTTATAAACTTTAAAACCAGCCATATGTTAATTAAAATACATTTACCTTTGCTAATGCAGTCAATTATTGTGAAATCCATAGAGTATAATTTCATGATTGTTGCAATAACTAATGTTCTGTGTGTATTCCTAATGTGTCATGTGTGTTTGAGTCTTACAGGTGTCAGACTGTGTTGAAGGTGTTCAAAGGTAAGAATCACACTCTCACACATTGATTGTTCTTCTGTATTATTATGTTGTTTTTAGAATAAACCATTATTTGGTGTATTCTCTTTGAAAACATCTATCTTTT